TTAGTAGGCCTCAGTGTGAGAAGGACTCAGTGTACATGAGCTAAATGGATGCAATGACTCAGCAAAATCTGTAGTTCTATATAAGCAGGTGTGCCTCAGTGGGAGGAAAGCCTCAGTGTGAGAAAGCTCTCAGTGTGAGAGAGGCCTCAGCATGAGCTAGGCTTCGGTGTAAGGTAGGCCTCACTGTGAGGTAGGCCTCAGTGTTAGTCTCAGTGTGTTAGTAGGCCTCAGTGTGAGAAGGTCTAAGTAATTCTGAGTCCTCTTCAGGGTGCGAGGGGCAGCTTATAAATGTCGTAAATAAATAAATGTGAGCTAAACCTCAGTGTGAGAAGGCCTCAGTGGGAGTAAGGCCTCAGTGTGAGAGAGGCCTCAGCATGAGTTAGGCCTCGGTGTAAGGTAGGCCCCAGTGTGAGGTAGGCCTCAGTGTTAGTCTCAGTGTGTTAGTAGGCTTCGGTGTGAGAAGGTCTAAGTGATTCTGAGTCCCCCTCGGGGTGCAAGGGGCGGCATATAAATGTTGTAAATAAATAAATAAATGTGAGCTAAACCTCAGTGTGAGAAGGCCTGGTGTGAGAAGCTTTGGTGAGGGAAGCCGCAGGTTGAAGGCCTTGTGTGTGAAGCTCCAGTGTGAAGGGTATAGCATGAATGAACAACAACACACCAGTGATCACATTGGGGCATAATGAGTATTCATGCCAAGTTTGGTCTAAATACATCATTGTTTGAGTCCACAGTGCTTTCTGGGTGTAGGTGAACTACAACTCCAAAACACAAGGTCAATGTGCACCAAATCCAGTATTTTCTGATGGTCATGGCAGTTCTGTGTGCCAAGATTGGTTCAGTTCCATCCTTGGTGGAATTCTGAATGCTCTTTGATTGTAGGTGAACTATAAATCCCAGCAACTACAACTCCCAAATGACAAAATCAATCCCCCCAACCCCACCAGTATTCAAATGTGGGTGTATTGAGTATTTGTGCCCAATTTGGTCCAGTGAATGAAAATACATCCTGCGTATTGGATATTTACATGACAGTAGCAAAATTACAATTATGAAGTAGCAACGAAAATAATGTGATGGTTGGGGGTCACCACAAATGAGGAACTGTATTAAGGGGTCGCGGCATTAGGAAGGTGGAGAAACACTGGTTTATGGGGAGGGTCTTTTGTTAAGACGTCCCCCAAGTTCAGGCAAGGGAAGTTCAACTTCTCCCCTTGAAATGTCAATTATGCATGCTTTCCATCTGATTTATCTCTCCTTTAAACATATTTTCCCAGCGTTGGGATACAAGCAGAGTTTCCAATGTAATTACCAAAATAAAAAAAAAGGTCCGGGTAAAAACGCCATGAATTATACATACTAAAAATACGGAATAAATTAATCATAGCATTAAAACCGAAAAAGGGGAAGGAGGCAGTTGCACAAGCGGAGAGGGTGAAGCAGGGGATGCGGGAGGAGGACTCAAATGAAAGCACTCCATCGACACAAACACAAATTATTTAAATGCGCCGGAAGCCGAGGAAATCAACTCGGGAGGATGGAGACGGAACTAAAGGACGCAGGCAGGGATATTTCAAGTTATGTGTCGCTGTTGTTCTTGTTGTTACATTATATTATTTTAAAAGGTAAAGGTTGTCCCCGGACATTAAGTCCAGTCGTGTCCGACTCTGGTGCGCATCTTCATTTCTAAGCCTAAGAGCCGGCGTTGTCCATAGACACCTCCAAGGTCATGTGGCCAGCATCACTGCATGGAGCAGCCTTACCTTCCCGTCGGAGCAGTACCTATTGATCTACTCACATTTGCATGTTTTCGAACTGCATGTTTTCGAACTATCTATCTATCTGTCTGTCTGTCTGTCTGTCTGTCTGTCTACCTGTCTACATAACTATCTACTTACCTACCTACCTACCTGTGCATCTGTCTATCCATCTATCTATCTATCTATCTATCTATCCATCTATCTACCTACCTACCTACCTACCTGTCTACCTACCTATCTATCTACCTGTCTACATACCTATTTACTTACCTACCTACCTACCTGTGTCTCTGTCTATCTATCTATCTATCTATCTATCTATCTATCTATCTATCTGTCTGTCTGTCTGTCTATCTACCTGTCTACATACCTATCTACTTACCTACCTACCTATGTCTCTGTCTGTCTGCTGTCTGTCTGTCTGTCTGTCTATCTATCTATCTATCTATCTATCTATCTATCTATCTATCTAGCTATCTATCTACCTGTCTACCTATCTATCTACTTGTCTACATACCTATCTACTTACCTACCTACCTACCTACCTGTCTATCTGTCTATCTATCTATCTACATATATAAAAATGCATGGAGACACTTACCTTCCCGTTGGAGTGGTACCTATTGGTCTACTCACATTTGCATGTTTTCGAACTGCTAGGTTGGCAGGAGCTGGGGCTAGTAGTGGAAGCTCACGCAGCTCTCCAGATTCGAACCTGCGACCTTTCGGTCAACAAGCTCAGCAGCTCAGCACTTTAACCCACTGCGCCACCGGTGCTCCCCGGTATTATTATTATTATTATTATTGTATTATTATTATGGCCTGTCGAATGAACTGCCAAAAGAAGAGATTCAACACTTAAATGAGGTGTTGGAATTTAAAATACAATGGAAGACCCATCTCTTCCTGCAGAAGGCGATCCAGTCAATCATCTACCTGTCTACCTACCTATCTATCTACCTGTCTACCTACCTACCTTTCTGTCTACCTGTCTACCTATCTACCTGTCTACATACCTATCTACCTACCTACCTATCTACCTACCTGTCTATCTATCTATCTATCTATCTATCTATTATCTATCTATCTATCTATCTATCTATCTATCTATCTATCTACCTGTCTGTCTATCTATCTATCTATCTATCTATCTATCTATCTATCTATCTATCTACCTGTCTACCTATCTACCTGTCTACATACCTATCTATCTATCTATCTATCTATCTATCTATCTATCTATCTATCTATCTATCTATCTATCTGTCTGTCTGTCTACCAGTCTACCTTTTAAACTATCTATCTACCTGTCTACCTACCTACCTATCTATCTACCTGTCTATCTATCTATCTATCTATCTATCTATCTATCTATCTATCTATCTATCTATCTACATATATAAAAATGCATGGAGCACCCTTACATTCCCATCGGAACTGTACCTATTGATCTACTCACATTTGCATGCTTTCGAACTGCTAGGTTGGCAGGAGCTGGGGCTAACATTGGGAGCTCACCCCGTTCCCCGTATTCAAACGTGTGACCTTTCAATCAGCAAGTTCAGCAGATCAGTGCTTTAACCCACTGCGCCATCAGGGGCTTCTATTATTATTATTATTATTATTATTATTATTATTATTATTTATATAGTATCTCCTAATATTATTCTTACTGACTTATGTTGCTATCGATCAGAGAGCGTACATCTCAAACTATGGGTCTTTAAAGCAAAATGTGTAACATTTCCCTAAGGGTGCATCGATCTACACTGTAGAATTAATGCAGTTTTATTCCACTTTAACTTCTATTTAAATCATGGGAGTTGTAGTTTGACAAGGTACATATTTTCTGCCAAAGAGGTCTAGGGACTCATCCAACTACAAATCCCATTCAAGAACATTTGAATTGTATAGTCTTGAAAGACAGAGGGTGAGACTAGACGGTCTTTAGGGACCCCCTTCTAACTCCGTGTAACATTTCCCTAAGGGTGCATCTACACTACAGTTTTATTCCACTTTAACTGCTATTGAAATACTGGGAATTGTAGTTTGACAAGGTATGTATTTTCTGCCAAAGAGGTCTGGGGCCTCACCTGTCTACCTACCTATCTACCTGTGCCAAGTTTGGTCCAGATTTATCATTGTTTGGACCCACAGTGCTCTCTGGATGTAGGTGAACTACAACTCCCAAACTCAAGGTCAATGCCCACCAAACCCTTCCAGTATCTTCTCTTGTCCATGGGAGTTCTGTGTGCCACCCAACTACAAATCCCAATCTACAATCCAATCTACAATCCAACTACAAACCCAACTACAAATCCCAATCTAGCACATTTGAATTGTATAGACGTGCAAGACAGAGGGTGAGACTAGATAGCCTTTAGGGAGCCTTCTAACTCTGTGTAACATTTCCCTATGGGTGCATCTACACTACAGTTTTATTCCACTTTAACTGCTATTGAAATCGTGGGAGTTGTAGTTTGATAAGGTGCATATTTTCTGCCAAAGAGGTCTGGGGCCTCACCCAACTATAAATCCCATTCAAGAGCATTTGAATTGTATAGACGTGCAAGACAGAGGGTGAGACTAGATGGCCTTCGGGGGACCCCTTCTAACTCTGTTTATGGCAAAAGCTGGCGCATGCCTGGTCTACACTGACCATTTAACACAGTTTTGAACTGCATTACAAGGCAGCGAAAATCAGGTCATAATTAAAGAGTTAGATATAGCTTTCAGAAGGCAAAATGGGCCACCAGAAACTGAGAAAATAAGGTCTCTGATCGTTTACGTCTCGTTTTTCTCTCTCCCGGCGGAGAAGCATAAAGATTAATTAACCAAAAGTTCCTGCAATTAGTGATAAAAATTCCCCCGATGGCCGCTCATCGCTCCTGATGAGAACATGAGCAATATGACTCTTTTCCCCCATCTCCACAGTAGAATGAATGCACTTTGACACCACTTTAACTGCCATGGCTCAAGGCTATGGAGTCCTGGGAGTTGTAGTTTGGCAAGGTATTTCGCTTCCTCGGAGACGACTCCTAGGATCCCATTGTGGCATCAAACTGCATTCATTCTACAATGGAGATGCACCCTCAATTTGTATATTGTCAATAGTGGTAGATTGAATATATCAATGCACTTTGTACATGCTCAGAGGCACTTTTGAGTTAAGAGGAGGAAATGTAGGAGCGGGAAAAAGAAAGCAAGAGAAACCGGCCAATCAATGAGAAGCCTTACCTTACACCGAGACCTCCGCGAAGTCGGGGGGCAGGCCTCTGAAACCGTGACTTCGTAAAACTCTTGGATATCTAGTCCACCAAGTACGCGAGAGGGAAGGAAGAGAAGTAGTTATTAGCACATTTTCCCCACTGATTGGATTTATAGTTTGGTATGGCTTCCAATAGTATTTTCTGTTGGGATTCTATGTTTGGTCCAATTCTATCTTGGTGGAGTTCAGAATGCTCTTTGATTGTAGGTGAACTATAAATCTCAGCAACTACAACTCCCAAATGTCAAGGTCTATTTTCACCAAACTCCACCAGTGTTCACATTTGGGCCTATTGAGTATTTGTGCCAAGTTTGGTCCAAATCTATTATTGTTTGAGTCCACAGTACTCTTTCGGTGTAGGTGAACTACAACTCCAAAAGTCAAGGTCAATGTCCACCAAACCTTTCCAGTATTTTCTGTTGGCCATGGGGGTTCTGTGTGCCAAGTTTGGTTTAATTCCATTGTTGGTGGAGTTCAGAATGCTCTTTGATTGTAGGTGAACTATAAATCCCACCAACTACAACCCCAAAATGACAACATCAACCCCCGCCCCCCACCCAACCCAACCAGTCCCAAATGTCAAGATCTATTTTCCCCAAACTTCACCAGTGTTCACTGCTGGGCATATTGAGTATCTGTGCCAAGTTTGGTCCAGATTTATCATTGTTTGAGTCCACAGTGTTTTTTGGATGTAGGTGAACTACAACTCCAAAACTCAAGGTCAATGTCCACCAAACCCTTCCATTATTTTCTGTTGGTCATGGGAGTTCTGTGTGCCAAGTTTGGTTGAATTCTATTGTTGGTGGAGTTCAGAATGCTATTGGATTCTAGGTAAACTATAAATCCCGGCAGCTACAACCCCCAAAGTCAAGGTCAATGCCCACCAAACCCTTCCAGTATCTTCTCTTGTCCATAGGAGTTCCGTGTGCCAAGCTTGGTTCAATTCCATCGTTGGTGGAGTTCAGAATGCTCTTAAATTGTAGGTGAACTATAAATCCCACCAACTACAACTCCCAAATGTCAAGGTCTATTTCCCCCAAACTCCACCAGTGTTCACATTTGGGCATATTGAGTATTTGTGCCAAGTTTGGTCCAGATTTATCATTGTTTGAACCCACAGTGCTCTCTGGATGTAGGTGAACTACAACTCCAAAGCTCAAGGTCAATGCCCACCAAAGCCTTGCAAGGTAGGCCAAGCCTGTCCTTCCGACCACAAAGTACAGTATTTCTAAGGTGAAAGCACACCCGAAGGCGTCACGGCTCAGCTCCCGACTCCGTATCCCATCCTCCCCTCCCCTTCCCCGGCTCAGAGGTAATTATAAGATGCAGATTACACGCTATATTTAGGCCACCTTGCAATACCAAAGCCCTCTTCGCTTGGGTTGCTGCAAGAAGAGGACAAAGCCGGGAAGAGGGGCGCGGGGTCCCAAAGGACTACATATCCCATCATCTTCCCCTTTCCTCCCTCTCTTAAGAGAGTTGCCATCAAACTGCGACAGTGGATTATTATTATATACATAGATAGATAGATATCGAAGATATAAACACTATGGAAGGAAGACAATTTGACGGCGCTTTTAAGTGACACAGCTCAATGTAATTGAAATCATGGGAGTTGTAGTTTCCCAAGGTCTTTTGTTGCTTTCTCTGCCCCAAACTACAGCTCACAGTATTCAATACCATTGAGCCATGGTGGCCAAAAGTGATACCAAACTGCATTCATACAAATGCACCCTAAGTCAGAAGTGCATCCGTTCCGTGGTTTTAGTCCGAACTATAAAAGAGGATTATTACTATTCTTTCTTTCAAAACATTTAGTGCAGAAAACCCAAAAAAATATGAGTCACCTGTGGATTGAAAGACCCCATTTGCCAAACTGAGCAGTGTCTTTACAATTCGGACTAAAACCCGGAATGGATTTCCCACCAGCGTCTTCCTGCACTCTCCAAAAATGGTTGGACTCCAACACCCATTATTCTACACTTATGTTGTAAGGGAATGCTGGGAATTATAGTCCAACAATAATAATTAATAATAATGTCTTTTTATTTTTTATTTTATTCTTTCCAGATATTGTTGGACTACAACTCCCAGCACCACAGCAACACCTGGAAAAACTGGGAATTATAGTCCAACAATAATAATTAATAATAATGCCTTTTGTGGCTGGAATCACTAGGTTCTTGTGGGTTTTTTTCGGGCTATAGAGCCATGTTCTAGAGGCATTTCTCCTGACGTTTCGCCTGCATCTATGGCAAGCATCCTCAGAGGTGTGAGGTCCTCACACCTCTGAGGATGCTTGCCATAGATGCAGGCGAAACGTCAGGAGAAATGCCTCTAGAACATGGCTCTATAGCCCGAAAAAACCCACAAGAACCTAATAATGTCTTTTATTTTTTTCTTATTCTTTCCAGATATTGTTGGACTACAACTCCCAGCACCCCAGCAACACCTGGAAATACTAATATATCATTTCTTCTTATTCTTTCCAAGTACTTTTGGATTACAACTCCCAGCATCCCAGAAACACTTCAAAATAATAATAATAATAATAATAATAATAATAATAATAATAATAATAAATTATTCTTTCTAAATATTGCTGGACTACAATTCCCAGCATCCCAACAGCATCCAGAAATAATAATACTAGTCTTGGAAACTACAACTTCTTAGAATTCATAGGACGCAACGCCAGTTCAGTTGCAATAACGGGTGCTATAAATCCCAAGTATGTCAAGGACCTTTCCCTTTTTTTCCTTGGGAACGGTCCCTGCCCACCTAGCAAGACCTTGGAAATTACAACTGCTTAGAATTCATAGGATGCAAAGACAGTTCAGTTGGGATAATGGGTACTATAAATCCCAAGTATGTAAAGGCACTTTCTCTTTTTTCCTTGGGAATGGTCCCTGTTTGCCTTGGAAACTACAACTGCTTAGAATTCATAGGATGCAAAGCCAGTTCAGTTGGAATAATGGGTACTATAAATCCCAAGTATGTAAAGGCCCTTTCTCTTTTTTCCTTGGGCACAGTCCCTGCCCACCTAGCAAGGCCTTGGAAACTATAACTGCTTAGAATTCATAGGATCCAAAGCCAGTTCAAGTAGCATAACGGGTGCTATAAATCCCAAGAATGTAAAGGCCCTTTCTCTTTTTTTCTTGGGAATGGTCCTTGTTCGCCTAACAGAGCCTTGGAAACTATAACTGCTTAGAATTCATAGAATGCAAAGCCAGTTCAGTTGGAATAACTGGTGCTATAAATCCCAAGTACGTAAAGGCCCTTTCTCTTTTTTTCTTGGGAATGGTCCTTGTTCGCCTAACAGAGCCTTGGAAACTACAACTGCTTAGAATTAATAGTATGCAAAGCCAGTTCCGTTGGAATAACTGGTGCTATAAATCCCAAGTATGTAAAGCCCCTTTCTATTTTTTCCTTGGGCATGGTCCCTGCTTACCTAACAAAGCCTTGGAAACTACAACTGCTTAGAATTCAAAGGATGCAAAGCCAGTTCAGTTGGAATCACAGGTACTATAAATCCCAAGTATGTAAAGGCACTTTCTCTTTTTTCCTTGGGAATGGTCCCTGTTCGCCTTGGAAACTACAACTGCTTAGAATTCATAGGACGCAAAGCCAGTTCAAGTGGAATGACAGGTACTATAAATCCCAAGTATGTCAAGGACCTGCCTCTACTCACCCAGCAAGGCTTGGAAGAGTTCACTCTGGAAGATCCCCAGGAGTTTCTCCGCTTTGTGCCGGAAGTTCTGGTCCAACAAGAGCGATTCTTCCATCAGGCGCAAAGCGGCCGCAGTATCTGGAAGGGAAAGAGAGGCGTAGATTCAAGGAGAGGGAATTGTAGCATCCAAAGGGACCTCCAGGGGTCATCTAGTCCCACTCAGAACTGGAACCCATCACGAGAGAGTCTTCCATTGGAGCAGCTCTAGCCATCAAGAAGGTCTTCCAAGACTTTTGTGAAATCGGAAAGGGGGGACATTGTAGAATCCAAAGGGATCCCAAGAGGTCATCTAGTCCAACCCACATTTTATTAAAGGGCCCATTATCTTCTGTTTCCAGCTTTTGGGAAAAGGATAACCTTTGAGATCATAACATTTTGGAAAACCAGAATTTCCAAAGACTTTTGGAAGCGTGATTTTTTTGGAGAGATTTTGGAGATTTTGAGATTTTTTGGAGATTAATTGGCATTCATACCATTTGAATTGGCAAAGTATGTAAAGTCTGATCTTCCTGAGAAGAGTTAAAAACCCATTTGAGTCAATCTTCTCCTCAGTGATAAATATCCACTAGTATTCATGCAAGGCAAATTAGGCTTCTCGGTTGTTAGACTGATATACCCGGTTATGTCTTTGAACTGTTAAGAACAAAGATTATGCCAATGCACAAAATATATAGCAGATCTTCAGAAGCGTTGTTTCAGTTTCCCAAAAAGCATCTACTCTCCTATAAAATACATTTGGGTTGTTGTAGGTTTTTTCGGGCTATATGGCCATGTTCTAGAGGCATTCTCTCCTGACATTTCGCCTGCATCTAGGGCAAGCATCCTCAGAGGTTGTGAGGTCCTCTGAGGATGCTTGCCATAGATGGAGGCGAAATGTCAGGAGAAAATGCCTCTAGACCATGGCCATATAGCCCGAAAAAACCTACAACAACCCAGTGATTTCGGCCATGAAAGCCTTCGACAATACATTAAGGGAAAACTGCATGCCAATACACACATATAAACCAGTAAGCAATCTGAATCTATATAAATAAAAATGTAACGTTCTGGGTGGTTGTAGGTTTTTCAGGCTATATAGCCATGTTCCAGAAGCATTTTCTCCTGACGTTTCGCCTGCATCTATGGCAGAGAGTGCTTGAGGACTGGGACATCTGTAGGGAGACCAAGAGGCTTGTTTATAAACCTCCCAACCCTGCTCTATACCTGCGAAACGTGGACTGTCTACAGACGTCACACTCAACTCCTGGAACGATTCCATCAGCAATGCCTCTGGAAAATCCTGCAAATCTCTTGGGAAGACAAGCGGACAAATGTCGGCATGCTGGAAGAAGCAAAGACCACCAGCATTGAAGCGATGGTCCTCCTCAATCAACTCTGCTGGACTGGCCACGTTGTCCGGATGCCTGACCACTGTCTCCCAAAGCAGTTGCTCTACTCCAAACTCAAGAATGGAAAACGGAATGTTGGTGGGCAGGAAAAGAAATTTAAAGATGGACTCAAAGCCAACCTTAAAATCTCTGGCATAGACACTGAGAACTGGGAAGCCCTGGCCCTTGAGCGCTCTAGCTAGAGGTCAGCTGTGACCAGCAGTGCTGCAGAAGAGGCACGAATGGAGAGTGAAAGAGAGAAACGTGCCAAGAGGAAGGCATGTCAAGCCAACTCTGACCAGGACCACCTTCTGTCTGGAAACTGATGTCCTCACTGCAGGAGAACATGTGTATCAAGAATAGGGCTCCATAAACACCTACAGACCCACAGCCAAGACACTCCATGTGGAGGACCATCATCCTTAGAATCCTAGAGTTGGAAGAGACCTTGTGGGCCATCCAGTCCAACCCCATTCTGCCAAGAGGCAGGAAAATCACATTCAAAGCACCCCCAACAGATGGCCATCCAGCCTCTGTTTAAAAGCTTCCATAGAAGGAGCCCCCACCACATTTCGGGGCAGAGAGTTCCACTGCTGAACGGCTCTCACAGTCAGAAAATTCTTCCTAATGTTCAGGTGGAATCTCCTCTCTTGTAGTTTGAAGCCATTGTTCCGCGTCCTAGTCTCCAAGGAAGCAGAAAACAAGCTTGCTCCCTCCTCCCTGTGACTTCCCCTCACATACTTATCCATGGCTATCATCATGTCTCCTCTCAGCCTTGTCTTCTTCAGGCTAAACATGCCCAGCTCCTTAAGCCGCTCCTCGTAGGGCTTGTTCTCCAGACCCTTGATCATTTTAGTCGCTCTCCTCTGGAGACATTCCAGCTTGTCAATATCTCTCTTGAATTGTGGTGCCCAGAACTGGACACAATATTCAGGTGTAGTCTAACCAAGGCAGAATAGAGCATGGGGAGCATGACTTCCCTGGATCTAGACACTATGCTCCTATTGATGCAGGCCAAAATCCCATTGGCTTTTTTGCCACCGCATCACATTGTTGGCTCATGGTTAACTTGTTGTCCACAAGGATTCCAAGATCTTTTTCACATGTGCAGCTCTTGAGCCTTGGGACCAGGTTATCTATTATTTTACTCTGTTATTATTTTTATTACATGTATTATCTTACTCTATTTATTATTGTTGTTATTACATTTATCATTTTACTCTATTATTATTACATTTTACTCTATTATTATTATTTTACCTTATTATTGTCATTATTACATTTATCATTTTACTCTATTATTACATTATTATTTCACTTGATTATTGTTATTATTACATTTATTATTTTACTCTATTATTGTTATTATTACATTTATAATTTTCTCTATTTATTATTACTGTTATTACATTTATCATTGTACTCTAATATTATTACATTATTATTTTACCTTATTATGGTTGTTATTATTACATGTATTATTTTACTCTATTTATTATTGTTATTACATTTATCATTTTACTCTATTATTATTACATTATTATTTTACTTTATTATTGTTATTATTACATTTATTATTTTACTTTATTGTTGTTATTATTACATTTATAATTTTTCTCTATTTATTATTATTGTTATTACATTTATATTATTACATTATTATTTTACCTTATTATGGTTGTTATTATTACATGTATTATTTTACTCTATTTATTATTATTATTATTATTATTATTATTACATTTATTATGTTACTCTATTATTATTGGAAGGATACATGAAGTAGGTTAAAATAATGGTTTGATCAGTGTTGGACAGGCTTATCTTAAATTACAGTTTTATGTAAATATTCAAAAACATTTAACCTACTGGTGCTTCAATTAATGTAATTTTATTGGTATCTATTTTTATTTTGAAATTTACCAGTAGCTGCTGCATTTCCCACCCTCGGCTTATACTTGAGTCAATCCATTTTCCCAGTTTTTTGTTGTAAAATTAGGTTCCTCGGCTTATATTCGAGTCTATACGGTAGTAGTAGTACTCCCAGTTTTTTGTCGTAAAATAAGGTGCCTGCCTCGGCTTATATTTGGGTCGGCTTATACTCGAGTATATACGGTATTTATACTTGCATACCAAAAAATCCAAAATGGTGATGGCTACGAAAGTCACCTCTTTGCTTTTGGATGGTTCTGTGCACACAAATTGTGTCCCAAAATATGATATATACAACTGTCTTCCAGCTGTGTGCACAAAGTGTATATGAGGAGACATAAATTAATCTCATGTTTACATTTGGGTCCCCATCTCCAAGATGTAGCCTGGAACCCCAGGTTTCGGCGGTGACCAGGGGAGCATTCGCACAATTAAAACTTGTGCGCCAACTGCGACCGTACCTTGGGAAGTCCGACTTAGCCACGGTAGTCCACGCTCTGGTTACATCCCGCCTTGATTACTGCAACGCTCTCTACGTGGGGTTGCCTTTGAAGACAGCCCGGAAGCTCCAACTAGTCCAACGGGCGGCAGCCATGGTACTAACAGGAGCGGGGTGCAGGGAGCACACAACTCCTCTGCTGCACCAGCTCCACTGGCTGCCGATATGCTACCGGGCTCAATTCAAAGTGCTGGTTTTGGCCTTTAAAGCCCTAAACGGTTCTGGCCCAACTTATCTATCCGAACGTATCTCAGCCTATCAGCCCACCAGGACCCTTAGATCTTCTGGAGAGTCCCTGCTCTCTATCCCACCGGCTTCCCAAGTGCGGCTGGTGGGAACGAGAGACAGGGCCTTTTCTGTGGTGGCCCCTCGGCTTTGGAACACCCTCCCTATAGAGATACGATCAGCCTCTTCACTGATGGTGTTTCGGAAGAGATTAAAAACATGGTTGTGTAAACAAGCATTCGGTTAGTTTGTTATCACCGAATTTTATGGACTAAGGACTGGTTAATTACGGATGACGAATTCTGGACTGTGATTTTAGTGACGAGATACATGGTATTATTATTGGTGGCCCAATAATTTGTATTGTCTATGTGTTGTTGTTTTAAATTGTATATTGTTTTTAATTGTTGTAAACCGCAATGAGTCGCCGACTTAGGCTGAGATATTAGCGGTATACAAGTGTATTAAATAAATAAATTAAATAAATAAATAAATGTATATCATCCTATTTGTTCTGTCGCCGTTGGGCCTGTAATTAATTGACTTTAAAGAGAGGATGTGTAACCTTTGCCCAGCGGGAAGCCAGGGGCCTAAGGAGAAGTTCTCAGAGGTTTCCACCACAAAGAGTCTTCAGATGTATTGTCGAAGGCTTTCATGGCTGGAATCACTAGGTTCTTGTGGGTTCAGTTCATCTTGTCCTCCAAGATGAACTGAACCACCTCAACTGGGCTCTCCATCCAGGCCAATGGAGACTCCACCTCAGACATCAGAAGAGCTGCAAGACCAAGAACAAGCCACGAGAGTCAAGATGAAGATCCACCCAGAGGAAAAGTGTTCCTGCCATACATCAAGGGAACCACTGACCGCATAGGGAAGCTGATGAGGAAACACAACATACAAACAATCTACAAACCCACCAAGAAAATCCAACAAATGCTCCGTTCAGCAAAGGACAAGAGGGATCCTCTCACCTCTGCAGGAGTCTACCGTATACCATGCAGCTGTGGACAAGTCTACATAGGGACCACCAAACGCAGCATGCCCAAACACGAATC